CAGAAACCCTCACTTTTTCAAACATAAGAAAATTTTCAAATCAACAAAAAAACCTAGAAGATTTCAAATTTTCAAGATTTGGCTCCCTTATGACATAACATCAAACTGGTGCCTAACTTTTTTGGAGACATGCCTTTCACTATAGTAACCTAGTTTAGTATTCTTTAGTATAGTAACTTTTCTTCTCTTAAGTGGATCAATGGTTTGTTTGATAATTCTACAAGATTTTTTGATACAAAGGATCCACAATACAGTGACAACTGCAGAGCATACTTAATTTGTAACATTATAAACTATGATATAGAAAACTCTTTCTAATTATAAATCTAACAACTGAAGAAATAGGAAGAAATTATCAAAAAAGAGGAGAATTTTTAGCAAAACATATTTATAGAAGATGATTTCTTACAAAAGAGAACTTCTTGGGGAAGTTAGGACTTGGTTCTCCAAGAATAAGTTATACAAGAAAAAAGTAAGTAAATAGTAACCAAATAAGACCTATAATAATGATAATGGGTCATTGACTAAACATAAAGCAATCTACTTCCTTTATGAAACACTGGTCTACTTTATATCTACTTTGTTTTTTTGTTGGTAACCAAATAACAATAGTTACTTTAAAACTTGACAAAAAACACTAGTCTACATTCTCATTATGAACTAAATTTCTAACTGGATTAGCCTTGGTCTAAAAAATCTTCAAGTTATTGGATGGATAAATAATTGTCTACCCATTGAAATAACTCTTTTTTCAGGTTTGCTAGGTCTTGATCACAGTCTTGGAATAGTTAACTGTTGTTATAATAACAACAGTTGTTATTATAATATTCAAATAATAATAGTCTTCTCAAAAACCTCTACTTCTTTTTCTAGATCCATAAAAACTTTTTTGAAACCAAAATATTAAGCTCCAAAAGAATATGTCAAATTTACAAAGTTTGATCAATGTATTCTCCTAGCTGGAGCTCAAGAGTATTTTGTTACTCTTCAAATTCTTGAAGAATTTTCACAATAATGGCTGGACCAAGGATATACTTATATCCACTTTGTTGCTATCAGAATTGTTTTAAACTTTCATGACAGAAAAAGGTATTTCTACTTGTACCAAGATGGCTTTGTTGGATACAAGATTCAATGATTATCAACTTGCAATACTAGGCATAGTTGAGACGACAATTAATGCTGAAACTATCTTTTTCGTAGTCTTCCCAAATTATAGCATGTCTCTTCATGACTTGACACTACTAGATGTTTTAAAAGTTCAAGAACAAATTGTAAGAATTGGGATGAAAAGATTCCAAGCAACCCTTCACTATCAAATGGCATACAAAATTTAAGATCATGCCATAAACTGGCCTCTACCTAACTCTAATGATTCAATTTTTGAAAAGCTAAAAGCTGTAAATAAAAAACTTAGATGTGTTCATATTCCAAAATAGATCTCGAATGAAGAATTTGCTATTTTGTTTCCTAAGTTGTGGACAATAAATTACCAAAAGATTTGAAAATAAGATGAGCCAATCAAACATTTAGATCCTTTCTACAAGGATAAACCCAAATGATACTATGACAATTGAGTTTGATCACAGCAAAGGTAACATTTTTTTTTCTTTATCAAAGTAACTTTAATAAAGTAGGCTTGACTTGAATACGTATTGAGTTAGATAACTCAAATGATTCAAATGAAACACTTTTATGGTTTTCATATTCATGTCTGTTAGTGGGGTTTGGGATTCATCATTGATCTCATAGAAATAATCTTTAAAGAAAAGAGGTTTAGGAAAAGGTTTGGATAACATAGTTTGGAAAACATTATCCTTTCCTTTTATATGTGTTGTGGTAAAGGAGTACTTTGAAAACCATTAGGAGAGTGTGAGAAACTGTACATTTGGCATCTGTTTTTTCTTGAAATTAAGCATCTGATCAAAAGCTAACATATCTAGTTCCACAAGAAAGTGATATCCAATGAGGTGAAATTCAAATCTTTGGTTTCATATTTTACTGCTAAAATCTCTTTTAGCGTAGAGTGGTAATAGATTTTCAAATCTTTGAATATATTACTTTTGTATTTACATATTTGTTTAGTTCTATCTTTTTCTTCAATAAGGATAGTCGACCAAAACTTATCGCTCACATCTGTTTGCAATATTCTTTTGCTATCTGAGGGAATCTTTAAAGTTGGAAATAACTGTGATCCTAAAATTTTTTGGGTTATTTGATAACTTGAGAATATTTTAAAGGTAATAGGGTTGCTAATAAAGTCTATAAAAAATATATTCGGGTTGTTGATAAAGTCTATAAAGAATACATTCTCATCAGCTGAAAGTAGTATCTAATAAGGTAAAATTCAAATATTTGGATTCCATATTTCATTGCTAAAATCTCTTTTAGCGTAAAATGGTAATGAATTTTCAAATATTTAAATCTATCACTTTTGTATCCATATATTTGTCTGGTTCCATCTTTTTCTTCGATAAAGATTGTTGACCAAAATTTATCGTTTGCATCTGTCTACGATATTTTTTTACCATATGAAAAAATCTTTAAAGTTAGAAGTGACTGTGATTCTAAAATTCTTTAAATTATTTGACTGAAAAATATTTGAAAGGTAATAAAATTCTTAATAAAATTTGTAAAAAATACGTTTTCATTAGTGATTTTAAAAAATATAAACATAAATATAGGTTTTTGTCACTTCATAAAAGTTTGATTTTTTTAAAAAAATAAAAAAAGATTTGAACATAAAATATATAGTCATATGTTTCAAAACTATGATCAAGACTTATCAGGTCTAAAAAAATTTATTTTAATGGATAAACAACTGTTTATCCATTGAGTACCTTGAAGAATTTTCAAAAGCATTTAATAACGAGTTTCGGGTCCATGTGTTTTACTAATATGTAAGATGTCATGAATATGTGTAAAATATTAGTATCAGATACCTCATTTCTTAGGTCAAAACCAATAAATATTGGTGGTTTTTAAAGAAACAAACGCAGAACAGAAGGACAAGAGTCGTGGAGGCGACGCGCGGAAGAGATATTAGGGAGACGTAAAATGTTCAGTGAAAGAGGTCGGCTACGGGAAATGTAGACCACCAACGCGTGGACGCACGCTCTTATTTGCATAAAAAAGCAAAAAGCCTGCTAGATTATTATATGTATACTTGGTAGGAGTAGATAAATAAATGATAAAACTGTGACAGAAATGGAAAAGGCCCACATGTGTTAGCAACTATGCGATGCAAATTGCAGAGAAAAGAGACAGAAAGAGAAACAGAGACATAATTTTATTTTATTTTATTTTTTAAGGGCTCTGTTTCGCCCCCAACCGTATTGTGCTTGCACTTGACTTGCTACTTTTTTCTCAGCAAAATATATATTATGTTTTAGTGTGATATATACCACATAATTATACAGCAATGAGGTGCGTGCATGGAAACCTATCTTATTTAGTTCTGCCCTTGTAATCTTGGAATTATATGCCTGCATGCCCCCTTTGGACTTGTACGAAATTTAAATTAATATACGCGTACTCCTTTTTTTATAATTATGATTATGGATTGGGAGACTCCGGGTTGTTAGAATCAAACACTCTCTTGCTCAAATTTGGGATATCAGACGGAGAGCTAGAGAAATATTAGCAGACAAGTAGTATTAGTGTAGTTTTCTTGCTCTCTCTATATATATTATCCCAAAATTACCTTGTCTATGCAAGACTGCGATGGTGCCATGTTGATGATGGGAAAATTTAAAAGAATCCTATTATATATTGTGTCATCATAATTCATGCCTAATAAAACCAGGTTGCATAACATAAGATTGAGTGATATTCTTTGGACATATTTGTATATAAAAATAATAAATACCCGAGTCATTAATAAATTACATGATTTATATGTGTATATATATATATACATATAATATTTTATTGAATTTATTTAAATAATTATATATTTTATATTAGTAATATAACATAAAGCAAATAGTCCTAAAATCATTTATAACATTCATATATTAGAATTTAATAATTACGTATAATATTGACCCAAACTTTAATTCCACTAACTATATTCAACACACATATATATATATATATATGTTTATATATATGTGATATTTGACAAATATTATCAAGTTATATATTCATCATGCATACTATCAAAGTTTTTTAATATAAATTAATAAAAGGGCAAAATTCTATATATTTTGGATATATAGGAATAGGACTATGATCCTTTCAAGAATGAAAGTTTCTTGTGGAGAAGGCCGAAGGGCATATGTTATATATATAAAAAAGGTCAACCATTAAAATAAGTCCTCCATTGATTGCATTTTATATACAATTAAGCTAATTATTATATATTACAGAGAGAGAGAGAGAGAGAGAGAGAGAGAGGAATTGGGTAAGTCAATTTGTATTAGATAGGACAGAGATTATTTGAATGAATTGTTGCCTTCACCAGAAGGTCCTGAGGAAATTTATATATAAGCAATTAGATAACTAAGAAAAAGAAGCAAAGTTGATCTCATTATATTAATTAATTAAGCATAAAATAAAAGGTTATCGTGCCATTTTCAAATGCTCTAAAATTTTGTATTTGACACTAATTGACAACTCTTTTTTTTTTTTTGGTTTAATATGTATAAGCCTCATGTCTTGCTATAACTCATATATAAGTGTTATTTATAAAAGAAAAAAAAAAGATTTTGCTATCTAATTAATACAATACAATTGCATTTCCCCTTTAATCGAGTCATAGGTTTGATGAAATTCAGCGACAAATGAAGATGCTATCCTTTCCTATCCCATTTTGTTGGGGTTGAAAACGAAATGAAAATAGGCACTTATAGATTAAGGTTAAAACCTAGCAAAAAAAGCTACAAAATCTCAGATCATTTGGATTGATACAGCAGTTGACAAAAGGATGTTTATGTCGGTTATAGAACTAGTGAGCTGAGAAGAGAAGTTGTGTTTGAATATTTGGGGGTGAAATGTATAAAGCAAAGAGAAAAAAGGAGCTAAAGTCAGTATCAACTGCCCTTTTTTGTCTTGCTTAATAGACGTTTTCAAGTTTTGATGTGAGTTAACGCCTAAGCCAAATCCAATGTCCTTTTCCTGCTTTACACCCTCTTTTTGCATTCTTCTTGACACGTGCTTCCTCTTTCTCTTTCTCTTTCTCTTTCAGTATACACTCTAGTTTAATATCATGAAAACCATGAATGAGCTAGTGTGGGATGGGATTCAAGCAGCTGTATTCAAAAGGCCCTTCCTCTCTCTTTCTCTCTTTGCTTTCTTTTGTGACCCCACAGCCTATATATACACATACCTCCTTCACTTGTTTTCTTCACCACTTAGAACAATTGCAGTAATACATGGCATTCAATTTCATGTTTTCTTTATTTGCTTCAATCTTCTTCGTTTTTCTCTTCCGTTCTCTTCTTAAATTCTTCAAATCCAATAGCCGGGAACTACCTCTCCCTCCAGGCACCCTCGGTTGGCCTTACATCGGTGAAACCTTTCAGCTCTACTCCCAAAACCCAAATCTCTTCTTTGCTTCAAAGCAAGAGAGGTCTATACCTCTTCTTGTTCCTTATTCTGCTCTTCCCACTACTCTTTTCTTTTAAATGTAATGCATTTTTATAGTGACCGGTGGTTCTGTTTTGGTGTATAGGTATGGTTCCATATTCAAGACCCACATACTAGGCTGTCCTTGTGTGATGATTTCGAGCCCAGAAGCTGCAAAATTCGTGCTCGTAACCAGAGCCCATCTCTTCAAGCCAACATTTCCAGCAAGTAAAGAAAGGATGTTAGGCAAACAAGCCATCTTCTTTAGCCAAGGGCAGTACCATGCCAAATTGAGGAAGCTTGTTCTCCGTGCATTCATGCCTGAAGCCATCAAAAGCATCGTCTCCAGCATCGAATCCATTGCCAAAGATTCCCTCCAGTCATTGGAAGGGAGGTTGATAACCACTTTCCAAGAAATGAAAACAGTAAGCTTCTCTTCTCTTTTATTGGTGCTACATACGCTTCTCTCTAAAAACAGAGAAAAAGCAGGGGTCCTCTGTATTTCTTGCCCTAGTTCTGTTTCCCCTGTTCTGGTTTTACCTTATTAAGAACGGTACAAAACAGTTGGTTTTAGTTTTACGTAAACATTTTACACAATTTGTTGATATGTTGCTCAAATTTTGCAGTACACCTTCAATGTTGCGCTACTATCAATATTTGGAAAGGATGAAGTGCTTTACAGAGAAGATCTAAAGAGGTGCTACTACATTCTTGAGAAGGGTTACAACTCGATGCCCATTAACCTTCCTGGTACACTTTTCAACAAATCAATGAAGGCAAGGAAAGAGCTTGCTCAGATTCTAGCCAAAATTATATCAACCAAGAGTCAAATGAAGCTCGATTGCAATGACTTGCTCGGGTCTTTCATGGGTGACAAAGAAGGCCTCACCGATGAACAAATTGCTGACAACATTATTGGCGTTATCTTTGCTGCTCGGGACACCACCGCTAGCGTACTGACATGGATAATTAAGTACCTTGGAGAAAACCCGAGCGTTCTTCAAGCTGTCACGGTAAGATTATCTGCTTTCTATCCACCAAAGATGGAATTTATTTAATATGACTATGATAGCGCTCTTGGAGTGACATGGTTTTATTGTGGCTTTACTTACAGAAGGAACAAGAGGCTATAATGAGAGGTAAAGAGAAGTGCGGTGAGGAGCACACTCTTACTTGGGCAGATACAAAGAAGATGCCAATAACTTCTAGGGTGATTCAGGAGACACTTAGGGTTGCTTCAATTTTATCTTTTACCTTCAGAGAAGCGGTGGAAGATGTTGAATATGAAGGTTAGTCGTTTGCCACGAATCTGACAAAATATTATATAGCAGTACAACCGATTTTTCTGTTTAGTTTTATTCTTTTGTGCTAGTAGCTTTACTTTTTTTGTTTTTTCTTGTAAAAAAATATTGTTCAGGGTATCTTATACCAAAAGGATGGAAAGTTTTACCACTTTTTAGAAACATTCACCACAACCCAGAAATCTTTCCAGATCCTGAGAAGTTTGATCCCTCAAGATTTGAGGTAAATTTTGCAAAATTTTGATGTTTTATTTTATAAAATATTACCCAGTACTAATACGTTTATATATTGCTGAAATCTTTTGGGATACCACTCACCTAATGCATACTACTTTTGCTCAATGATTTAACAGGTTGCTCCAAAGCCCAATACGTTTATGCCATTTGGCAATGGAACCCACTCCTGTCCAGGGAATGAGTTAGCCAAGCTGGAAATTATGGTCCTCCTCCATCATCTGACTACAAAGTACAGGTACCGATTTTGTTGACAGTCTTGGCAATCTGTCTTTTCAGTTGTGGACTGTTTTCTATTAATAGAAAAATTAAGAATATCTGCTGACGTGAGCAATATATTTTGGTGGCATTTTGCTTGCAGGTGGTCTATGGTGGGTACAAACAGTGGGATACAATATGGTCCTTTTGCTCTTCCCCAGAATGGTTTGCCAATCAGATTAATCGGAAAATCATAGCCTAAGAGTTAAGAGTCCCCAACGACTCCAGGCCAGGGAATTCTCAATTTTAAAATATATGTAGGCAACACAGCAGCAGGCTTGATGAAGCAAAGAAGGCAAAGCCCCAAAGGAAGTTCCTAGATTGAGGAGAAAGAAAGAATTAAAGCTTTTATCTCTTTTTGGCCAAAAGACAACCAAAAGAAGAGTCTCTCATCCCATAACACAAAAGGAGACCTCCAAGTGTACAGAAGAGTCTCATCCCATAACACAAAAATGGAAAAGGAAAATCTGCAAGAAAAATGACCAATGGTTTTTACGTGTGTTCATTTGCTTAATTCATCAAGTCCGCAAGGCAAAATAAAAAGAGAGAATCAATTATTGAAAATTTGATTGATACTTATAGTACTAGCTAGCGTACAAACTGACCTATAATCATCTGTTTACTCTTATCAGTAATGATTATTGGTTTTAATTTGCTCTCTGCAGTGCAATAATTATATATATATATAGCAATTAGCGAAGACAATTTGAATGAGAAAAGTAGTAAGGCCCTAATTGCTTAATTTGCATACTTTACATTTCAATCACCATTATTACGCTCCTTTTGACTTGCTATCACTTAGAAAGTTGAAAGTGAAAATCTTAGCCAAAACTTGCGACTTGGGATCTTCGTTTCTGGTAACAAAAAGCACGTGTCCTTCCTCATTAATAAATAATTAATGTTATGGTCCCAATATTATGTCCCAATAATATGGTGATCATTCAGCGTTAGCACTGGTAGCTTTCTAAACTCTCCTTTGAGGGAAAATCGTCTCGATACAGATTGTAATTATAATAGGGAGGATTATTCAATTCGTCATGAATGAATCATTAACAAGAAATCTTCATGTTAACATCATATCGGATCAAGAGTTGTTTCGTAGATTGGATTAATGTCCTTTGAAAATTACTGAGAAAATCATCTGTCACCCAATTGTATGATCTACTTCCCAACTACAAACCACCAGCACACCAAGGATATTGAATTTTCCGCCCCCGGCCCTTTAGCTCCCTGTCTTTACAGCAATGCTGGCCGTAACAGTAAGTATTACTATCATTATTATTATTATTAAACGGAAGCTAAGGGTGTATGAGCATAAGATTCGTTTTGATTGAGAAACAGTCACCAATCAGATTGTGTCTAAATCAGGCAACCAACAGAAAGCAGTAGGAGCTAGTCAGCGGTGCCAGCCATTATACGTTTTGATTGATCTTTTCTGAAAACATATACTATGATATTATTATTATTATTATGTTAACTAGTACTAAGAAGGATATTCAAAAGCTTGTGATGAGCATCCGGTCTGGTGCAGCACTGTTATGAATATTACAATTTATAAAAATTTATATAAAGAAAACGCACGTGACTTACATAGATTCACAAGTCATGCACCAACAAACTCTCCCTCTCAAGTGTCAAGTTCCATCTCATGCTATTATTATTTATGCATTTGCAAATCTCACGTGGCTTCAAAATGACACTAATATGTATGAATATCTAAATTCTAAGGTAGGTCAAACAGTTATGCATACTTCTGTTTAAGCTCACATCCAGGACTCGACTCCAGTTTATCAAACATTTAACAAGTTAAGGCCTGTTTATCAAACTCAATGTATAAAAGCTCCTTTCAATAATCAAAATGTATACAACATTCAGCACTCCACTCCATTCTCACTAGAACAACATATACATGCAAGCAAACTGAATGTTTAACATCTGAATACAAATATGTTGCTCTAATTAACCAATCCATGCAGCTTGGTGCAGTGGAAGACACATTTAGCTCACTAATTTCAGATCATTAAAAGCTCATCATTTTACATCTATTCCCCATAACGTAAAATGCCACCTCTTAACTGCAAAAGTTGCACTAGGTAAATTGAGATTAAGATTTCCCAAGTTAAATTAGCTATCAAACACATGGCTTCAAGCCTACAAGTCAACAAGTACATTCCTTTGAAAAAGAGAGGAAATATTCACAGTGAAAAGTACACACCTTCTCCACATCTGTTGTGCCCGAGACTTCTTGTGTTTTATTCTTAAGTAGCTCAACCCGAGCTTGAATAAGGCGATTATGTTCTTCAACCTATAAACAAATAGGAAATAGTAAGACTGCTATATCTTTCCAATGTTTTCAATGTTTTCTTATCTATTGATTAGAACAAAGCAAAATCAATGAGGGTAGACCATAACATGTAATTTGAGTCAAACTGCAAACCAAGTCTATAAACCCCAAGAACACAGAATTCTACTTCATTTGAAAACAGTCCACAAATTTTTTGTATGATTATTTTGAAGGCTTACCTAACTCTCTTCATACTTTAAGCATAAAAATGATAAGAACATGAATATATTATAGACTGAAAAAAGGGAAAAGGGTTATGATCGCCTCCTAAGTAACTTTGAAATAGAGAAACTTCATGAATTCATTTCTTACCCTTTCCAGCAGGCCCCGTAAGTACTGGATCTCACCTTTCTTTGCTGTTGACAGATGGTGCACCGCATCTATTACATTAGTCCTGCATTCAAACTCCTCTCCAGTTCAAATGAAAGAAGTGCAGCCAACATGGCTCCATGTGAACATAAAACATGGTATTCGAGTGCAAAATCATGAACAGTAATCACCATAGACAAAATAATAGTTTTAACTATAACTACAGTACAAAAAAAAAGAACAGTCTTAACTCATCTTCATTTAGCATTTTTTTTCCATGAAAATGCTAAAATACATGTTTAGAACCACTTTTGAATCACAGAGTTCATCAGAGTAAAACAACAGCATCAATGACAATTTTTCCATAAAAAATGCTGAAATACATGTTTAGGACCATTTTTGGATCACAAGGTTCATTCCAGTAAAACAAACAACAGTAATATATCAATGACAAAATTTCCAATTTATGTGAAATCTGTCAGTGCCAACTCGCTTCCCTAGTTTCCATCCAACTGTGGATCCTAACCTCAACCAGGAGTAGATACACTACCAAAATAAATGCATCAAGTGGTAGCAGCAAGCAGGGCTTGCTCGACAGGCAACAAGTGATAGAACTCTGTGGCCTTTGAAGCTTGATAAACAAATACACATAAAATTGTGTATGGTTTCCTGATTCTGTCAGCTCATTTATTTGAGTTTTTCCTGATTAGCCTAGTGTCCAAAATACGTTCAGTGTATACAACATCTGTCCTTCTGGTTTATAAAGACTTGATTAAAAATTTTCAACATGATCCGAATACTTGGTTCAAGAGTGTGAATACAACTTGAAAATGGAAGGCTAACACAAAACTAGAATTTCAGTTCTAAATTCCAGAATAAGAAGCTTATATAATTCAAATCTGTGACAATCCAATTTGAAACAGCATATATTGAAATAGGATTGAATAGCAAAAGTAATCCACTGTTATCAGTTAACCAACTAACATTCAAAGAATGTTAAACCAGATGGTACCTACTTTTCGGAAAACAAAGGGTCAAGACATTGTTCTTCCACAAGTTGCTCCACAGTATCAAGGGCAGTTCCTACCTACAAAACAAAGAAACTTAAAAATTCAAGGTCATCTGCATAGCAGTGATATGATAGATGCACACCAATGCAATGCAATAAAATGGTCAGGAAATTGAATGTGAGATAATCATGCATACTAAGCGGAGTTGTCCCATATTGGTTAAATTTGGGATTTGCTGTGGCTTTGTATTTAAACTCGATCTCTCCAATTGACCTTTTATATCAAATATTTTTTATACCAGAGCCAGACCCCAATTCTTTTGTTGCCTGGTTTTTTGTAGTCCATGAGATAGGCTTGTTTCATTTGTACATCGACAGATGACAAGATTTATATAAGCTTTGAACCAGTAAATCTCATTTAAACTCAAGTCTCAATGAAAATCCCAAAGTTTCCTAAATGAAACTCAATAATTTCAAATAAAACATTTAGGCTAGTTTGTTTGGAAAAGAAAAGGAGAAAAGGGGGGGAGGGGGCTCCTAACTTCAGCACATTTTATTGATTTGCAATAGATGACCCATCTTAAGTAATGCTATAACCTACCCTGACTCACTTTAACTAATAGGCCAAGTTGCTATTATAGACTTCACATAAGTGCTTTCAAAAACTCATTCTTTTCCCAAAATTTCTTTCAGTATCTTTCACTACACATCATTAAACCAAAAATATTTGTGAAACTTCTATATGATTAGAGCTTAAGGCAATGAAATAATCTGCAGAATCCAAATAGTCATATCCCTCCCTTATATTTTACTTGATATGTATAACTATCCAAATGATGAAACAAAAACCTATATGAGTTGTTTAATAAATTGATATCAATGAAACGGCTAAAGCAGTAGTAATTATAAAAGAGAATACCTGTGTTTCAAGGCATAAAGACTCAAATTCGTCCTGTAACATTGAAGAGGTAAAATTAGAAATAACGCTTATACTATACAATCTTAAAAGGACTAAGTGGAACACCAGATAAAATTAACACAATCCCCTTGGCTGCATAGTTGCTCAACCGGGCACCTCAGGTGGTCATTTACAGAAAAGTAGTGACTTAGGTGCTATTTAAATTATCCCTGAAAGTTCCACCAACTTTAATATGGAGATAAGATTCATTCTTCGTATTACAATCAATCTAATTCCATAGAACAACAGAGAAAACTGGTCCAATTTCTATTACCATAAAAAATTATTAGAACTAAAGCCTTTATGGGTAAAAACCACTTAACCAAAAATACTTTCCAGGTGTGAACGTTGTGAATAATGTAAAGAAATAAAAGGGAGTTAATTGTAACATTAATAAAAGTCAGTTAAAAGAGTTATGAAGGCATGATAAGCAAAGGGTAATTTATACCTCTAAATTCCCATGCAAAGAGGTAATGACCTGAAAGTTTTCCATAGCGCCAAGATGAAGCGTCAGTTAAAAGCTTGAAAACAAAGGATCCACAGCCAAAATCAAGAAAAGAAGTCTAAACTATTGATACGGCATTTAAAGGTGGGGGGGGGGGGGGATAATTACCTGAATAAAAAGCTGGTGGAGACGTTCTTGCTCGGCGCTTGTAAAATTCGGAAATGCTTTACTCAATTCCTTTAGAATTAAAATAGATAAGAGCATCCCGATTGTCATTAAGACAAACTTAAAAGAGAAAAAAATTTTCTCAAAAAATAAAATACAAGACAGAAAGAAAGAAAGAAAAAGGAACTAGAAGAAAAGGAAATAAAAAAGAGGTAACCTAACCTGCTTAGGACAGGCAGTGAGAAGAGAGCGAACAGCGAGGTTGAAGGACTTTTTCAAATCGGATTGCCTCCTCCCATCAACGGAGGAGCCTTACCACTTCCGCTACCCATCTTCTTCTTCTTCTTCGATACAATACAAGCAACCAAACACAAACCTAAATTAAAGAATAGAAGGCAAGCTTTCTAGTTTCCAGCCAAGTCAATATTCAAAATTTGGAATTTCCTCCAAATTCCCCACGAGAGAGACAGAGATCTGAAATCCGAAATGATTTATATACGTGTTATAAAACTTCAAAAACTTTCAAATTTAAAAGTATTTTTTTTTAAACGGGCTTTTCCATTTATTATTAATAATAAGCATGGAGTTTTAAAATATATTACTACTTTTATGTCTTTTTTTTTTTTTCTTCTTTTTTTACACTATCTATCCAATCTGTTTGTCACTACTAATATATCATCATATTACACATTTGTTTAAATGTTTGTTTTTACACATTATTTTTGTCTAAAAAGTTAGCGAATATTTTTCAAAAAAAATAGCTAGCGAATACAAAAGTTTTAACTTATTTAAAAATTAAAATTTTGAAATATTTTAATTGTACCGGAGTCGGCGGAATGTTCTAAATTGCCAACAAATAAAAAGAATGGGCTTTTAACCGGCTAATGATTGATTGAAATATTTTGCTAATTTGGACAAACCCAAACGTATAATACTAAAAGTTTGTTGCCTAAGGAAGACACTACCTTTCTTATAAAAATTATTAAATCAAAACTTACATTACTATTATCATTATTATTATTATTATTATTGTTATTATTATTATGATAAGAGTGGAGAGATCGAAAGCTGCTACTTAAAAGAATAAAATTACTTTTTCATACTCGTCTGTCTTTCCTAACTACTCTCCAATTTATATGTAATTAAAATTCTTAAGCAAATGGACATATTTAAGTCTTCAACAAAAAAAAAATATGAATATTGAATGAAATAGCCAAAACAAAACCAAATACCATGTATATACCATGTATACAGAGCATGCATTATTATAACAAGGAACAAGACTGCGCACATTGCAAAAGCAGCGGGCAAGCGTGCTTTGCAGAACCCTCCGTCTGTGGGACAGTTGGAACAGCCATGAAATGCTCCAGAGGGCAATCACTCGAGAACAACGGTGTTGTGCCATTTCCTATCAAATATACTTCAGCCAAGTAGATCTTTAAACAAGTTTGGATTCTGACTCGATGGAGTCACACCCATTTGCCTAACCAGTGCATCCCTTTCCAAGGAATCTTTAAGGTTAGGACCCTTGCTACTTTGCATTGGTTGCGTGGTTGTAGTATCACCAGGCATGTTTATAATTGAAGGATTTGACAAGCCAGATAAAAGATCACTGTTGCGTATGGCAGCAGGTGTATCTGCATACAATGTCATCATATCAGGTGATTCTATAGCGGCGATCGAACCATGATTTACTGCTGAAGCAACTTGAGTTGTATCAAGAAGGCCCTCCAATTGTTTAAAGGGATCTACTAAAGGAGAAGTACTTGTGACAGTTGGTTCCCCCAAATCAAGCAAGTCCGGAGGTTGTTGAACAGAAGCCGTCTTTTCTGATGCAACTTCCATACTATACTTTGGCACATGAGACTTCTCCATAACGTGGCTGCTTGCCTTTGAAATCTTATGAACAGCAGCTGGTCTCTTTTCTGTTTTTGATGAACCTCCAAACAGTGAAGCAGCAAGTTTCTGCTTTTCTGGAGAAATTTCAATCTGTGGTTTCCTTGAATCATAGGTTTCACGTGTTCTTGAATTAGAAGTACTTGCCCCGTCAACTTGTGTGATCCCGTTAACTGTTTTCTGTAATGTGGAATTTGAGGTAGATGTTGCAGGAGAGTATGTTGGTCTACCCCACTTCTTTTGGACTCCATCTAGTCGTAGCTTGAGCTCTGATGATCCTGCATCTAATGATACAGAAGGCACAGGAGTCTGGTAGCTCTCCCTGGGATACATTGGCTCAGGCACTGGAACAAGTTCAGTTGAAGCAAGTGATGCTGGAGGAATCCTAGATTGCATTGTCGGCTTTGGTAGCTCGTATGCCTCAAACCTGAGACTGTGTGATGAAGCTTCATTGTGATCTTGGTTCCTAAAATTGCTGATATTTAAAATTCCAGAGCGTTCACTCTCAGGAATATAGGGCTGAGCGCCTTTTTCTATTGACTCTTGGATATAACCATCAAGGAATGAAAGGCCTTTATCGACCTGCAAGGAGAATTAACAATGATTGTTCTTTTGCATAACAATGTTCCACCACGATGCCATTGACAGAACAAACAAGGAATTAAAAAGACAAATAGCCAACATAAGCATAGAATTATAGTTTAATTGCTAAATGATCTTAACCTGTAAAACATAATCGACCCTGGCTTTTGTAGAAAGCTAGGGATTTAAACATCAATCAATTAACCTAGCAAGATGTATGTCATATAATCCTGTGAAGCTCCCAAAAAATTTTCAACAGAACATATATAGACAAATTGATTTACATGTCAGAGTCAAGATAATTCTATGAACTCCCAAAGCAAGGGAAATTTAGTAAATAAGAAGTATAGATTACTTCTGTCACAAAAGTGTCAATTGTCAAAATTGAAGTAATTTTTAAGCTAACATCCTTGTAGAAACATTATCTCACTCATAGAAGAGCTAACACCATCGCAATGCAATTTCAGAAATGAACAACTATTAAAAATGTCCAACAAGAATTATCCAACATACTTGTAGATCAATTCCATGCACTAGCAGACGACAGATGCAGGAGGTGATTGCATTACTCTTTCTTTATAGCAAAATTTACAATTAAAAGAAGTACCATCTCATTTTTGAGAATCAAGACTAAAGAGGTGCAGATGTCAGAGCATTTAAACAACACATCAATCATAGGTTCAAGCTCTAAATGACAACTTCAAGAAATGCACTTACTATCAAAGTGGAACAGACCAATTTAAGTCAAGAGACACTTTATCAGACTGAATTTTTGGTCATGAAAGCTTCAATATGTAACTAAACAAACACGATACAATCAACTTTTAAGGAAAGCGGTTTCATAAACATGACTTTCAGAGGATTTTGAGCTCAAACTAGAAAGACAGAGAAGTTAAAAACAATACATCACAAGGAAATTGAAGCAGAAGATATCGAAGATATCACATAAAATGAGAACCTGCACATCAAAACCAAATTAAGCCAAGAGAATGAAATTAAAAGCACCTCAATATCTTCACAACTTGCATCTGATGGCATAATACAGTCAACAGCATGAGCATCAAGGCCAATCACTACTTGCAGTTCATAGGCACGTTGCTGCAAATCCGTAGAGTGAGAAGCCAATAATTCTTCCATTAAAGTTTGACACTGCATCAGGAGAGGAAAGAGCAATCAGTCCCACAAATTTAGTTACAATTACAAGAGCCCTGTATATAATTATACATGCAAGTATTATATATTCAGGCATCTATAACAAGGCCTTTCATCAAATATGAATCTAGCTTTTATTGGAGTTAGTAAGCATTAAAAAGAAATTCCAAGCCCAAATATTAGTTATGTCACCAGCAGTTCCATCACTATCCAGTAACAAGAAATTTGCAGCGATCTCCACCCTACCAGTACACTGCACAATTGGCATTGCTAACTGCTGATATGCACCTTGTAATTCTTATTCCCAAATACAAAGCATCTAAAGCTTGTTGCTGCACACGTTGTTCTTCCTCCCTTGCCAAACCTGGTGCCATCATACCCATTACCCCATCACCCTACCATCCTTAATTTTGAACACTTGAGGAATCTCCAAAGTAAATTTTATTCGCACATAAAATGAAATCTGGTACTTTTTAGAATCATAACTCTTCTTCACATACATCATTATCTCAATATCACAACCACCTAGTAAATGGTAGCTTATTATAACTTCTACTTCCTTTCTAGTCAAATAAAACCCAGAGAGAGAAATTAGAAGATTTAAACAATAGAACATCTTCTCAAAACTACAGCTGCTGCTAAGTGAAAGATAGCATTGTTATCAAACTAAAGTTCAGAATCAATTCAATGAGAAAATGCAAACACAAACAACCAATCTGACGCCCAACCCCAAGCTTGATTTATTATCATCCTTGCCAAATCATATGAAAAGAAACTAAGAGGTGTCGGTAACCAGGGTCGAACTTTACCTTAATTTATGTTGTTTGCTTATCCCAAGTCATTTTACTCCAAATAAATGAAGTTCCAAGCAGTCTATGCATAATGGAATCCATTTTACTTCATTGGATACACTTCAACATGCTAAGACAACTCTAAGCTCACCTTATGGGTTTCCTCTGTAACTACTTAGGAACTATAGCTATGAGGTCTAGATTTCATTTCTCCTTCAAATTTTTGCTTCTCAAGCCAACATCAATGAGATGATTAAACTTATCAAATTCTAACCACCCTACTTTCAAATTCCTAATACCTCCAAACAATCAGACTCAATTTCTTTATATGTCATCGCTAGCTACTGTAAAAAGAATTACTGCACTTAAATTTTCTGTTTTTAGGCAACCAAACAACCCCAAAACCAAGCTTTTTCCACAATTAAAAACTATGATCTTACTACCAAACTTACAAAATCTTAACCCCCAATTTGAGTATATGAAAATAGTGCAAATCCCTAAGATCTAGTTTCAAAACATGTTGTTCAGCATCAAACAGTTGCATGAAAAGCAAACACAGGCACAGCTAGTTTAAATTATTTTCAGAATTTTGCGCTAAAAACATGCAATCTGACAAAAAACTACAATGGGATACAAACTCAACCTCATCAACATCAGAAATGTGCATGCATTTGCATATAAAAAATTTGTCCTCAAGTGTTTGGAAACCAACCTCAGGCAGCATATCTACTTTCTTCCCAGATGCTATTTCAAATGCATATATTTTCATGAGAGCTGTAACTGCATATGCCTTCAAAAATAAGTAAAAACCATCACATTTTCAGATATTGAATGGACAATAATATTATAACTATTATGAATGGCATTTCCAAATAACTATGAGAATTTTCAACATACAAACATCTCGTTGAACTGCATCAACAAGTGGTAATAACCATTTTAAGAATCATTAATTCATATTAGTTGATACCTTAACAGTCTCATCATTAGAATATGCCTCTGCCACATCACACAACTTCCCAGTAATGTAGGAAGCCGAGAACTTTCCATCAGCTGTTCCATATTCCCCCAAGACCCAACATATTACCTACAATTAGAACTCACAATTAAGATATAACCAAAATTTTAGTACTGCCCACATGCAAGCAACACAAGATAAAAAAGGATACTTGATACAACAGAACATACTCGAAGAAAAACAGATGGCAACTTTGGTTCACCAAGAATGCGCAAGTATGACTCCACCTGCCCCAGAAAATAATCATCCCAACTTAAGTAAAATAAAAGGACAAAAAAAAAAGGATTAAAACTAGAATACAGATGAATTTGGAAGGGTGAAAATGCACCAAAAAAGTCACTTTGGAATGATAGATGTGACAACATTCACATAAAACCCTGACAAATTAAATTAAGTTAAAACGCATACCATTCTCATTAATCAATTAGATAAAGAATAATGGATATGTATTATAAGAAGCATTATATTTCTGATTTCAGCCCCTTACTGCAGCAAATATACACATGGAACTATAAATGCATCATAAGATATTACAATTTGACTTTGCACTGAACAACCAAAAAAAATATGTGTAGGTAATCTAATACTTGCAATAGATTTTCACCTGCAGACTTAGCTTTCAGTCAAGGTCCTTTGATCAAATTCAACTCACTTGATGCATCAATTCGTCAAGATCTAGACTTTAAGCTCCAATTTTTTCTATAATATTATCAAAGTCCTTTAGGAGGTAAAACTATTTTCATAACATAATGTGCAAACAGATTGTTAAATCCCCTATATACTCATAGGTTAATAAAATTTATTGGC